GAAGAACTCGATAATATTTGTGATCTACTAAGTAGAAACGCATAACTGGCTAAATTCGTGAACAAACACATGAACGCAGAAAGTAAACAGTAGAAGGTGCCAACTGTTCCCGAAAAATTAGTCTTCCTAAGATTGCAATTGGCGGGTGATGTCAATAGCGAGATATTCCTTGACATCATCGTCTCTAGATGGATGTTGTATTATTTAAGCTAGTAGACTGTTCCCTGCGAGATGCTTTTCTTCACCTTTTAAGACATCATCATCCACTGCAGATTCATTTTAAAGTCACACAGTATAGTTTTCTTTTAGCTAACTAACTATCAATGAAAATATGAATTGTCAAACAAGTACATTATTATTAAATTATTACTTTGTGATTCAAGTGATACATAGGTCTTCTGACTGCAGATGTAAAGTTTTGGTCCCGGTAATAGGGTTCCTAGCCTTACGCTCAATCATCTCTCTTTGCAGGGATTACTACCGGCTTAATGAGGTTTGGGAGTGCGTCCTCCGAGGATCTAGCCGCGGATCACTGAACCACTGACGCATACGTACATACTGTTGTTAAATTCTCACTAATATGAATCTTTAGATATAATAGTGTTGTGCTCTGATATCCAGATAAATATTCAGCGAAGAGGATTCTCTTTTGGACGATTTCATTTTCATAGCTGTACGATCGCATATATATATATACTTGGTGGATGGTGACTATCAGTGGAATCCTCCAGGATGCGCATTTCGTCCTATTTATGGCTCATCATCTGGATGTACCTGCATTCCCTAATGAGTGATGATGTTCCCACCGAGGCTCGAATCCAGTGACCATAGTTTCAAACGCCAAAGCGTTATCCGCTTGACCTCTTAGGCCACGAGAGCCACCACTTGTGCAACTGGTCATATTAATTATTTAATTCAATTTTAGATTTTCCCGTTGGTTGGTTGGACCGAAGTGCTTAGTCTCAATTACAACAGACAATAACAATCAGTTTTTTTGTGTGTGTATGTTAAAGTTTGACTGTGAGTGGAAATACTAAAATGATATAATAATATTGGTGGATAGGAATACGTGTCACAATTGATTAGTTATATATGAATGAATAACTAAATAAATAAATAGTGGTCAACCTAAAGTTCAGTAGATAAGTGCGAAATAGATGATGGGAAAATAAAGTACATTTGGAAATGTGAATATGTGAATATAATATGATGGGCACATGACATGAATGAATGAATGAGTGAAATGTTGTCAAAATAGTAGAATAAATAAAATTTTAGAATATGTGATAACTGATATGTTTTCAAGTATTGGTTTTTGTAAGGATTTTGTTTGATTGCATGGAGGATTTAATCATGAGCTGACATCAGTTAGAGAACCACTGGAAAACCTGGGAGTACTGGACAGCCGTTTCGTCCTAGTTTGGGACTCCTCAGCAGTACGCACCCACCGGGAGAAGTTAGAATTCAAGGATCATTGGATCGGGTCCCAGTGGCTCAATGGTCTACGAGCTCGCCTTGTAACCAGAAGGTCCTGGGTTCGAATCCCGGTGGGTGCGTACTGCTGAGGAGTCCCAAACTAGGACGAAACGGCTGTCCAGTACTCCCAGGTTTTCCAGTGGTTCTCTAACTGATGTCAGCTCATGATTAAATCCTCCATGCAATCATAACTGATATGTATCCACATATATATATTTATGTGTGTGTGTGTATGTTGGTCTCTCTTTCTGTTTGCTCGCTTAGTCTGTGACCATTTCACTTGTATGAACTTGTCTCCTTTATCAATGTATATTCTCCTTATATTATATTATATATAATATGAGTGTTTGTTGACAGTCCGTTGCTTAGTGACATGTATCCATATATGGTGGTTGTTGACATGTCTGCTATATTTCGCTATGTATATATGGATCGATACTTCATTATAATTAGCCATTCATGTTAAGACTGTCTAATGAAAATTCACACCCTTGTCATATATATTTCGATCTCACAATTTGTGTGACTTACCCACTTACTTACTTATTTTTGGTGTGATACCACTTATTGCTTCTCCTTGTGTTTGGAAAATAGAAGTATCATCGCAAACCTAGTGGTCTTCTGATTTCCGCCTTCTTGCGTCAGGACTATTAGTTTCTCGACCAGTCCATAACAATAATTTAGCGACGAGAACATAACAATAACATAAAGTGAAATGAAATAAAATAAAATACAACAAAGTAACAAAGTTGTTATCTGAATTACTTAGTAAAAACAAGACCATGGTAAGGAAAGAGATCATACTAATTGTTTTTGTACACAAAGTTCTAGCTTTCATGTTATGTATTACCAAAGCATCTGCTATACAAAGTAAATACACTCTTGTCCCTTTCAGCCAACATTGTCGAACTTTGTAGACTAAAAATCAAACGATGTGTCAGATGCTGCGTCGGGTTTTAAGTGTAACATAGAGCCTCAGTAACACACCTCGACTTCGTTCCATTTGCTTCCGTCGTCTTCATCTGACTGGCTCCATGACTGCTCATCATCTTTCATCTCCTCTTCCTCCTCCTCCTCGCTACACGATCTCCTCGGCGTCACCGTCGCACCGACGACCAATTCATCGCTTCCCATTCACTTTCCACTCGAGCAGTGGCCTGTACTGCTCGTGATGTCATTCGATGGCCTCATCAACGTGTGCTCGATCGATGCATCTCCATTTTCTCCTACATATTTGTTGAGCGATCGGCTCTTGCTTGTTGGTTTGTTCCACTGAAGAGTTTCCTGCCGGCTAACTGAATGCAGAAGATTTCCAAACTGGTTTCAGATTGATGAAGGCCTGCGTGTCTTGCCTTTCCGATTCTGACTAACTGGCTTCGACATCTTCAACCATTCCGCCTGTGGTTGAGACGATGATTGCTAGATGAGTGAAGGAAGTAACCTCTTTCAAATCTCTCCCATTGATGATGATTAGTGCCGGTTGTTGTTGAGTTTGGTTGGTCGGTTGGTTGGTTGGTTATCTTCGTCACCTCCATCCTCTCTGTTTTCACCTGGAGTCATGTCTTCGCTGCCTGCCTCTTCAGCCAGTTTTTTTTGGTTTTCCCCTGTAAGTCTTCGAGTTTATGTGACAGTAGACATAAATCATCCACCAAGACCAGACATCCTAGAGTGTTCTTATCGGTCCAGCGTATTCCTGCCTTCTATCTCCTCACGCAAAGTTTGATGGATAATCTAGTCCACCACAATTAGGAATATCATCGATGAGAATAGGCAAGCAGCCTTGTATTACTCCTGTATTCACTTCGAACGCATCGCTAATTTTTCTTTTGTGGATCAATTGATACGTGTCACTGTCATATAGCCAGCTGTTGAATGAATTTGCTAAAAACTTAGGCACTGCACACTGTAGTGTTTAAGCAGTTTCCAAATTACTTCACTATCAACACTGTCGAAGGCCTTCTCGAAGTCGATGAAAGTAAGGTATAGGTTTGACCTCTATTCTATGCTTTGCTTTGTGATGATGACGATGCGTAGAGCTGTAATTTGATCCATACACATGATTTGCCTTTCCTGAACCTAGCTTATTCTTGACTAACAGAGTTCCGCATCCAGTGCATCTTTTATTCTTTCCAGGATAACATTATGATATTCCCCTATATCCTTTGTTATACTTTTAAAAATTTTTTAAAAATCTGAACATTACTCATCTTACTCCAGTTTATCTATTTTATCAAAGCATATTTTCTGTAGTGTTTGTTCTCTAACAGATATCAGCTCATTATTAAATCCTTTAATCAATCAAATTAAATCAAACGCCTACAAACCAACACTTGTATACACTTTGTAGTTAAACTTTATTTTCATCCAAAAATTTATGAGCTCTGTCTTTTTTTTCTCCCTGAGAATATTCATCTATTTATCCTTTAATTGGTCAATCCTTTTAGTTCATTCATCTCTCTGGAGCTATTTTATCTATCGTTCCCAGCAATTAATCAATTATCATCTCGAAAATAGTATGCTCAAATCTTTTATGTAATCCATCCATATATTAGTATTTAATTGGTGGATGGTGACTAGCAGTGGAATCTAGGATGCGAATCTCGTTCAATTTGGGACTCGTCATCTGGATGTACCTGCAGTTTTCAGCGAATGATGATGTTTCCCCAAGGCTCGAATCCAGTGACCATAGTTTCACACGCCAAAGCGTTATCCACTAGACCACTTGGGCCACCAGAGCCACCTTTCCTGCCACGGGTCATATTAATTATTTAAGTGAATTTTTGATTTTCGCGCCGATTGAGTGGACCGAAGTGCTCGGTCTCAGGTTGACATGTCGGCTTCTTGTACAGATGCTTCGACGATGTCTGGGCATTTAATTAGCAGGTACATCCAGATGACGAGTCCCAAATAGGACGAAATGCGCATCCTGGCTTGATTCCACTGCTAGTCACCATCCACCAATTAAATACTAATTAAATGCCCAGACATCGTCGAAGCATCTGCACAAGAAGCCGACATGTCAACCTGAGACCGAGCACTTCGATCCAATCAATCGACAGGAAAACCGAAAATTCAATTCAATTAATCCATATATTTTTGTGTTGTTTAGTTGAGAAGAAACTGCTAAATAATAATAATAAAGAATAAGGTGATGTTGGACGGTTGGAGGCAATCGGCTACAGGAAGCCTTGTCTGATCAGCAAGGCGTATCAGCAACTGCCTTGAAGGAACTCATGTCTCTTCTGAGTTCAAACCTGCGTCACCCAGTCAGTGTTGCAGTGAGTCAGAGACGTTACCACTGAGCAGCTATTCAGACTGGAGATTAACCTCCTTGTAGGACTGTATTGGATACATCGATTGGATACTAGTTAGTAAACGGTCTGTCTAGTCTATCGTGTAGCGTAGACTGAATTCTATCAGTCAAGTTTGCAATTTGACCACTGTTCCGGGTAGCTCACCGTTATGGTGAGCTACCTCCTAGTATACATATCCATCCTAGTATACATATGCCAAGTTTACTAGTGTGTATATATATATATGCGTACATAATTTATTGATTAATTCCGCGTTCAAATTTCCATTGGACAATGCGTAAAGCAGAATATAATCATAATAGAAAAGTATGACCGGATAAATTATTAAATTTCACGGGAATATAAGATATATAATGATGGAGTGCAATAGATATTTTCATGGATATACTGAAATAATAAATAATATTTAATCATAAAATAAAAATAAAACTTCTCACATGACTTGATTAAACGCTGACGAAGAATTCAGTCAATCAGTATAAATGAAATCAAATTCATTAGTTGAACCAACCAATCCAGAATCTATTCGTAGTAGCCCACTTGGCGGTGGAAATAAAGAAGAACACGCTCGATTGGTTACAATTATTCAGAATAATCTACTAGACAAAGTCATTGTCTCCAATCATACCCTTATAACTTGGCCAATAGAATTAACTTCAATGCATATTTATTCAACACAAAACATGGAAATAATTCCACCCAATACTTTAACAAACACTAACTTATCTCTTGTAACACAAAAATTCCACGGAAAAGACGATGAACCTAGTGAAGCCTATGGACAACAACAACAACAACAATCACAACACCAAACTACACCTAAAATCTCTTTATCCATAAGTTTGAAACGTCAGAAACGTAAAGAAGTCAACGATCTGGAGGATTGTTGTAGTCTTAGTATACAAGCAGAAGTAAATATTCCTTACTGTTTTTCCGATGAACAAACGGAGAGTAAATACAGCGACAGAAAATCACGAAGTGTATCAGAAAAGAATGACAGAATATTTAAGGAGAAATATCCTAGCGCTGGTAGTGAAGAACACTTGCCGCCAAGCAGTCATCGTGATTCGCCTAATCTGAAAATGCAAAGCAAAGATTCTATTTCATCGCCAACAACATGGCTTAAAGATAGTTATAAAACAGATATATCAATCACATCAGTCATTGATTTAATTCATGGAAAAATGTACAAGAAAGAAGATAAAGACGGGATTATTACAACTCAGTTAGAAGATAATGTAGAGAATACTACTAGTCTAAGAGATTTACAAGAACACTCCATTATGAAACGTATTCCTTCAGAAGAGTATGAAAAAGACAAACCATTTGAAAGTTTTATTCAACCAGAAAATATATTGACAGGTGAAGTATTCAACGATTTTAATATATCTGATGCAAATAACCAAGAGGCTTATATAGGTCAAATATCAAACGATGGGTTCAAGGCAGAAATTCCGACAACATTAGATGATAACACTGGAGAATATAATCAAGAAGATCAGACTGAAATCTACAAAAAATCATTTCAGAAGACACTGGCAGACAGTGATATCGGTCAAATGCAAGAAGATTTACACCCTGATAAGAGAATTCCACAATCTCAACCAATTGTACGCACACAATCGGATGTTATCCAGCCAACTAGAGATCCAAGAATGCAGAATATTGTTGACAATACTCGACATCAATCATATATTGACGACAGAAAAGATGGACAAAATACGGTACAGATTAAATCTAACAAACAAACCCTACCAGTCAATATATCACCTATTGGAGTATCCCAACCAATTGTACAAACACAGTTTGATCTTATCCGACCTATTAGGGATCTACAAATGCAGAGTACCGTTGAAGGTATTCAACATACATCATATACTGATGAATCTGACAAACAATTCCCACAACTGAGCATGGCACCTCCTGAAATATCATTATTTTCAAGTACTGTGAATAGTTTACGTCTGTCTTCAGATGTTGATGAAATACACGATCAACCATCCAGTATTAGATTACAGCCTAGTCAACAGATTGAATCAAATTGTATGTTAACAACTGACTACCTTTCAGAATTACAAAATACTATTCAAATTACACGAAGTCCCTCTGAGTTTGAAATGAATCAACAAACAACATCAGAGCTTCTTCATATTCAACAGAATATATCACCAACACCATTGGATTACTCTAGACCAACATCCCCATCATCACCACGAATGGTAAATCTATGCGAGAATACACTAGAAATTCTTATTGAAACAAAAGACGATGGAGAGGGGATTAAAAATGTGAAGATCACAAGTGAATTAATTTTATCCATACATAACACCGGGCAAAATGATAGTAAACTATTGAAATTTCGTGCTTCAAGTCTCCTACCACCAGATTTCCTATGCTTTAAACAATCCAGTCAATTTGATAAATCGGATCGATCACCGAGTCGGAAATTATTATTATCATCATCATCATCACCACCACTAGAGAATAACATTAACACTGAAGAGGATAGCTTACCAAAATGGAGTATTAAAGAGGATACTACTATTGGAGGACAATCATATCCAGACGGAAATGCTTCATTGAAATCACCACCGACAGAAGATCAGAAGAGGTTAGAGAATTCACAGTCAGGTTATACAAATTTGTTAAGTACTCAAAAAGTATCCTTATCTGATGATAAGGGTAAAATACACCAAGCATTATCATCTCAAAAATCAGATAATGAAGCTGATATTCAAATGAAGGCGATTACTAGTCAGTCGGTAAATAGCACTTATGATGAGAATTCGGATACGACAACAGAAAATAGTGAGTTATTTCGTTAGAAATTTTATCTCATGTGATGCATTTCTTATATATATATATATATATATATATATATATATATATATATATATATATATATTGTTGGTATTAGATGGTTGGAGGCGATCGACCACAGGAAGCCTTGCTTGACCTAAGTTTCTTGCTGGTTAGTACTCATCAGACAGGTGTATTCCCAACTGCGTTGAAGGAATTCATGTTCCTTTTTAAGATTTGAACCAGCGTCACCCAGTGAGTGCTGTAGTGAGTCAGAGACGTAACCACTGAGCAGCTATTCAGGCTAGTGACTGACTTGACCGATAGAATTCAGTCTTCACTGAAGAATAGATGGTATAGAACTACTCAATTCAGTCAATCAGTAGTATATACCTTTAATACTAGTATCTGAGTCCTTTAGTCTCAGGTTCTTGGGTATATGTTCAGAAATGTGGACATCAACCCTTCTCTTCGTTCTTCCAATATACATATATGTGCTTTCTCACGTACATTTAAACTGGTTGATGTAATTTGAGGATAGCTGAGGCAGGAATTTCTACACTTTTTGAATTGTTTGATACACGCAAATAAGTTTGGTGACTGGATATGTTTTTGTTTTCAATGCAACTTTCAGTCTCTATCCTATTATGTTAACAGTATTATCATCAGTATTATTTGAATTGAAGACAAGCTGCAGAAAGATGGGCTTTTTGTCCACTGTTTTTGTGCAAATCACTCTTCCAATATTTCACATTTTCCGTATGTTACTGATGAACTGTCACTAACCGTTATCACGCAGAGGTGGTTTTTCTCACAGAGGATAACTCTTTTTCGAGTTTTCCCTTCTGTAAAAATCTTTCTTATATTACTGAACAGTGTTCTAACTAATCAATGTTTGAAGCTTATTGAGCAGAAGCTTTTGAAGTTCAGACTAATTTTCCTCTAGGATTCTTTCCTGATGTGGTACCTTAAAAATTTTACTGTCTATATCATATTGGATACCAGGCGTTGATGTTAAATAGTTGGAGGCAAACGGCGACAAGAAATCTTGCCTGACTTAAGTTACTTGTTAGTTGACACTTACCTGTCAGTCATCAAGACAGGCGTATCTGCAACTGCCTTGAAGGAACTCATATCCCTTCTGAAATTCGAACCCGCGTCACTCAGTTACAGATTAATCAAGGGAATTAGGCGTATGTAATAGGAATTCATTTGCCTTAATAATGTGTTCATCAGCCCTAGTGTGTGATGATCGTGACTGCCTGATTTATCAACATTGAACGGCACACAGAAATATATAAAATTGGAGCGTGGGGGGCGGGAAGGAAAGAAATGGAATCAAACTGCAAAAGAACATAAGAGGTACATGAGTCATATTATTAAAAGTCTTCAACTCCTAAAATTCCTGAAACCTCGAGCAGCCCAGTTAGACTATCTATACCTCACTACAAGGGGCACTTTAGCCACTGATAACTCTACGAACTGGTGCCATATTTTGATTTGACCACCACTAACACTTTTAAAACATAGTCATACTTCAGCAAGTATTGCCCGACATGGAGGGTAACGACTTTATATGATTATTATTCCCTTGGGTTCCGAGTGGAACATACGGCTTCAACAACACATCTACACTATATTCTTTTCTCTGCTGTCCCCTACAGCTGGCTGGCTCCACGATCGCCCATAATCTCTCATCTCCGCCTCATCGCCACACGATCTCCTCCATGTCACCCTCACACCAACGGCCCACTAGTTGTTTCCCATTCACTTTCCACTCGAGCAATTGCCTGTATTGCGTGCGATGTCATTCGATAGCCTCCTCAACGTATGCTCGATCAGTGTATCTCCTATATATTGATGACTTTATATGCAAAACACGTATTATAGCCATCCTAATCAATGTGGTTTTACAGACCTATAGATTTACTTCCCCTTCTCATCTAGTACCCTCCATCTAACCTAATCATTAAAAATTGTATTGAACGTATTTTGGTCAGAAGACACTCATATTTTCATCTTTTTTTTCTCACCTGGACTGAAAATGTTTCACAGCTGGAAAGTAGAATGGAGTGACTTGTTGCACAGTGGATATATCCTAAAGTGGATAGCCAGATATCATATAAACGTAAAACATCACTCATGCTGACAAGTGTTCGAACAGTCTATTAAATCCACGATGAAACTGATTCATCAACCAGTACATTATGACTGATACGGTTAGCTGAATAAATATTATGGTCCAAGTTTCAGCACGAATTAATATCATTTTGATTGGATACTAGTAACTAGTGTGATGCGTCTAGTCCTCTGATTGGTGTAGACTGAATTCTATCAGTCAGGTTTGCAATGTGACCACCATTCTAGGTAGGTGGCTCGCCATCACGGTGCACATTGATTTGATGGTATTAGATGGTTGGAGGCAGTTGGCAGTCAGAGAACCTATTGAAGACCAGGAACAGGTGTGTTTCGTCCTAGTTTGGGATTCATTAGCGGTATGTACCCACTAGGATTGGTACCCAGGGCCTTCTAGTTATAAGGAAAGCTTGTAGACCATTCAGCCACTGGGACTCGACCCAATAACCAGTCCATGAATCCTAACTTCTATTAATTCGTGATTTTAACATGACCACAAGACAGTGTTGTAGACCAGTATTTGTCCTCACTGCTGGTCTGGTGGATCTCAATGATAATGAGTTCCCAATGAAACTCTGGATTTCCGGTGTTTGGCATCTGGTGGTTTTCAATGTTTCTCTAACTAATATGGATCCGTGGTCAAACTTGGGACAATTCAAACCCCTACTAACTGACTAGTGAAAGCATCATGGCTAACACATAAAGGGTCACAGGTATCCCATAAACGTTCTCAGAAGACTATTCATTTTATCACAGGTTTCACCCCTAAAAAATAACTACATCACATATGTATGCCAGGCTCCATAGGGGAACCCAAATGAGAAGCGGCGAGTTGGTCGTCAGTGCGACAGTGACATGGAGGAGGTTATGTGGAAAGGAAATGGAAGCTTGTGGGCAGACGTGGAGCCGGGTGAAAACGTTGGTGGAGAACCAAACGCAATCGAGACTTGCAGCTGAAGCCCTATGTTCCTTTAGGAACTAAAGGAAACAATAAATATAATAATAATAATAATAATATGTATGTCCAACATCAACCAGATATTTCACTAGTCCCTTAAACATTGAATTCGATCGGAGGAGCATTCATCAGTTGACTGACTTTTTTTTCAACACAGAACTTCGCAGCAGTTCAACTCGCCATACTCCATGTAGCACAAAAAGGTAGACAAAGGAGAGGAAAAAGAACTATAAGGAGCACAAATTTACAGAAGAATAAAGTGGTAACATGGATAGACATGACGATATGATGGAGAAGTTTTGTACGTCAGGTGGATGATTTTAATTTAGTAGTGTTCTCTGAGCTGGATAGTTTATTTGTTTACGAAGCGTTCATTGCCCTCTACTAGGCAACATCTTTAGTGCATACACTTCAATTCGATGAAGTGAGCTTTTAGATTTATCCACGAGTTTATTAGTCACCTCTCCTGCTGGTGAACTTGAAAATGACTTGTTTTTGTGTGTTTTCACACCTTCTAGTCTACTTGTATTGGTGTTGATTGTTTTATTGACTTAAACTTTGACCCTTTGTGTGTGAGATTTCCTTCTTATCGATTGGTAAATTTTGTCTATCTATACGTGTCTATTGATGGACTATTCACTGGAATACCAATCTGGCTTCTAAAAATTCTTTAGCATTCTTGGTGTTTCCTCTGTCTAATATTCGAACGTTGGTTGTCTCAGTCTGATTGATGTCTATGGTTGTCTGTATGAGGTGAGTACAATGAGGGAGTGGATGTCATGTCTTTTGAAGGCTAGTTTACCTTTATGGATACGAAGACGAAAAGTTAGGGGTGTCCACTCTAGTCAGTGTAGTGCTTTTCGCAGTCATTGCAATTTATTTTGTAGATGATATTGGTTTTATCTTCTTTCACTATTGAGTCTTTTGTTTGACACAGAGCCAGCTGATTTTGTTGGTTTGTGTGCGACATCAATTCCTAAAGGTTTGGAGAGTTTTGTGATGATTTCTGACTTGTCCTTCATATATGGAAAATACAAAAAAGATGGCCCTACCATATATAAAGGACATCTCGTAAATCACCGCTAGACTCTTCAAGCCTTTATGAATTGAGGCCGCATACAGTCAACAGACACATCGAGATAGACAAAATTTACCAGTCGATAAGAAGGAAATCTCACACACAAAGGGTCAAACTCCAGGTCAAGGAAACAATCAGCTCCAATACAAGTAACCTAGAGGATGTGAAAACACACAAAAACAACCAATCACGACGTTCAACGTCATCCATCAGGAGAGAGGACCAATGAACTCGTGGATAAATCTAAAAGCTCAATTCATCGAATTGAAGTGTATGCGCTGAAGATGTTGCCTATTAGTGGTCACTGAAAGCTTCACAAATAAACCACCATCGAGTTCAGAGAACACAACCATATCAAAATAGAATACAATAATAATAATAATAACAGCTTTATTCCAAACGGTATTTGTGGTACAGGTATGGAATTTTCAGCGTGCATTACAGTATATTGCATCTAATTACCTCATAAATTATATAAGATTTTTAAAAATCAAAGATAAATAAATAAAAATAAAATAAATAAGTTATAAATAAATAAAAATTAAAAATTAAGAAAAAACAGCGTAGAGTATTTCATTTCAAACAATGCACCACAGGATTTGAAATATAAAGTTGATGTGTGGTAGAAGATGAGAACAACAGTGTAATAGTAACGAGGAAAGGAAAACAAAAACTAATGAGACTATTTGTTAGAGTGCTGCAGTAAGTTTATCGTGTCATACCTAACGGATTTCTCATCACATAACAGCTGTGCCAGATATGGTATTGTGGAGTTTTTGTATTTGGTAGTCCTAGCATGTAGCCTCCTATAGCTGCTTCTAGTTCTACCAGATGAAATGCAAGGAGATAGATGC